TACTCAGGTCACACAAGTTGGTACACATGTGGTTGTGTGTATTGCAAGTGTCGGTGTATGGTGTTGCTGCTTTACTTTCAAACGTAACTTTACCAGACATCAGATTATTAGCTATTATTGCACGACACGGAACAACTTACACACCACATATTGAAGCTTAACATAAGTTAAATGACTTTTAAAAAAGGTTTTTATAATAAACAATGGCTCACTCCTTATTTAGATTATTATGATCATATTTCATCATATCATATTTTATTTATTCACAAATAATAACATTATATACTCATGTATCTAATTTACACTATGTTTTTTATTGCAATAAATACAGAAGAACATTTGAGCGTTTTCTTTATTGAATATTTGATATTCCGTTTTCACAGTTTATGTTGAAATCTTTGCATAGGTCTGCCATTTAAACCAACAGAAGCAAACAACATTAGTCTGTTTGCACAATTAAAGGCTGTAAATTAGTCAATAATAAATAAATCAATGATAAATAAATACATTTATAAGGAAAAGCATCCATCGTGTTAAACCTGGACCTTTAAGGTCAAACAATTCAGACAAACATTAGCATACCAAGTGGATCCATCAATGGAGTTGAATAGCTTTTTATCTGAGGTTAAATCTGAGGTTAAAAGTCTGTGGTCTGCCGAATGGCAGCATACTTGCTCACTCAGTTTACCTTGGAAAGAATCCAGCTCATCCAGATATTGTCTGTGGGTAGAGCCATGATGTTTCCAAAGGCAGTAGCAACACCCCTGGAAATATAATAAAGGTAGAACTTTATATGAGACTTGATGATGAGATGTAAACAGGGTTTATCTGACATCATCTGCCTATGTCACTTCCTGAAGGCTCCCTGTACACATGTGGTTGCATGTAGCGTATATATATGCATCCATCAGCTTCCTCTTTTCTAGAAAAGGTGCACATAGTCTGTGAGCCAGTTTCCTTTTCTCTCTTATTTTCATATCTGAATTAATTATTGATTTTTACAGGGTGACTGTATTTAGTTTACTCAATATTTGGAATCATAATTTCAACCTGTTTGCATTATGTAGAAGAGAGTCATGCACCATCTATGTTCTTAGCAGTACGTTTAAAAAGAATCCACAGTTTATAGGAAGTAGCTAGTTTGGAGATTGTTAGTGGCAAACAAGAATTTATAAATCTCAATGACAACTGAAGTAGTTGCACTGTGGTACAGGCTCATTCAGCTTGCTTTGGTGGAGGATGCTGACAATGTTAACCCTTTTCTCTCCCTAGCAATTATTTAGTTCATAACTTGCCAAAAAAAATACATCATTTGAAAAAATTGTCAGCCTGGTGACCAGCACAGGCTCCATCCTGTTACACAAGTGTCTATTTACATTAGTGGTGGAATGTTTTTAATGGGCATAGCCTTTATCAGTAAAATTGGCATCATTCAAAGAACCCCCCCCCCCAAAAAAAAAGATGACTAATTGCCAGAATGTGATTGATATGCTTAATATGTGAAACTTTGAAATATGTCTCAATCTGCAAACGTACGGAAGAAGAAAAAGAAAAATAAGCACATGAAGTACTGACTGAATCACACAAGAATCACACAGTTAGTGAAAAATGATTGGACATCACTAAAACTAATGAAATAAAGTAAATATTAATATTATATATATTGTTACTATTTTATGAATCAAATAGACTGTACATACCTCTGACCTGCATCTACAGAGCTGACCTATGCCCTGTATCTGTCCTGTCCTCTTTCACTTAGTATTACTGTCAAATTGACTCAATCACATTTTTATTAACTGTCCCTGCAAGAAAACTAGCGTCAAATTATTGGACTTCACTCCAACTCATGAAATAAAGGTAATATTAATATAATTACTGACCTATGCACTGTATCTACAGCACTGGCTGATGCCCTGTATCTATAGCACTGACCGCTGCACTACAGCCACAAGCCTTTGATACTGTTAGTCACAAGGTTCTAATTACCAAGTTATGAAAGTTTAATTTTGGACCCAATGTAATCAAATGGATAAAATCCTAACTGTCAGTAGTGCCTGAGTTTAAATATTTAGGCATAGACACATTTAAACACATTCAACACACAAGTTAAAACATTTGTGAACAGAATCAAATTCAATTTGGCAAATTTTAGACACATTATGAACAACTTATGGAGGTCTCAAAGTTGTACATCAACACCATGAGCCTGTCATACATGAACTACTGTGACCAGCTGGACACAGACAGTATGTATCATCATTGTAAAATCTGAATTAAATGTTTTTTTAAACTGGAAAACGATGATCAAATTTGTAGATATCTTACCTGTGTTTACAATTTTAACAATTAACAATTACAATCCATATAGAAAACATACTATTGGGCACTCAGCCTTCTATCAAGAAGCACCTATCTACTAACATATCTAATGAACATCACATCTCTCAACTCAGTCATAATGTGGAGTTGTGCATCTGTCATTGTTTTATTAATAGTCTGTGCTTATGTGCTTATGTGTGTTTTCTTTTAATGTTTCTGATATGCTATCAACCTGCCAGGGATTGCACATAAAATTTTGCCTGTAAGGCGATAACAGGCACGTTTACATAATGGACTTAAGTTCTCATGTTAATTAATTGTACTTTTTTAAATAAATAAACATCAAATTTCAAACTTAAATATATCACAGTGCACTGAATGCACTTTACCTGGTAGCTGCTGGGTGTTAATCAAACTTACGCACTATTGCAAAGCAAATGACTTCCTGCAGTTTGACTGTTGGTTTTTCACGTATAGCTATATCGTTACCTTCAGTACAAGTAAGTTGACATACAGCAGCAACACACACACTGGCTCACCTGTCTCTCAACTTTACAACATTAGTCCAAAATTCCATAGCAAAGTTTAGCAGGCTAAACAACACAATTAACTCTAAAACAACATGAAAACTTGAACTTTAACCTTTGTTACTAGCCCGTTATTAGTGTTACTCCATAGCAGTTTATAGTGAAATGCACACACACGTTCCCATCAAAAATAAACTTCATCCACTCAACTCTTCTGTTTTCTGAGGCTGTAGAGATTGTTGCTGGTTATTTGATATTGTGTAAGTTAGTCTGGAGCTGAGTAAATGTTCAGTAAGTAAAGACAATATACATGCATATGTCCCTCCTGTCCCCGAACATGATAGATTAAGAAACACTTTTCTCTCTTTAATGTGAAGAAGCAGCGCTTGGCCCTCCCTCATTACCACCATTACCACCAGACAGACTGCGGCTGTCTTGTTTACAGGTGTGAATGTGTGATAGTGCAAATTTGTCATGGCATTTCTGCAAAAGAGAGGCATCCCCTTAGTGAGCCTTCCCTGAATAAATAAGGGTTTAAAAAAACAAAAGACGGTTGATACAGTTGTTTGTGAATGGCCACTTTTTATGGGGCTCATATTGATGCCTGGCTGAGCATGTATAATGAAAATGTCAGTGTAGCAGTTACTTCCCTCCAGCAAACACTTGAAAATAAAAAAAGATCACATTAACACTCCCTGTTTGACAATAAACCATGATGAATATACTCATTGAATATACCGCTTCCTCTTTTCAAGACAAATCTGTCTTTTAATTTTCTTCTGACTTAATTATTCATTCATTTTTTCAGGGTGATTGTCTTTAATAAGCTCTATGTTCTTTGCAGTAGGTATAAAAAAATCCAAAGTATATAATAAAGCACTATAGAGATTTTATAGATTTGGAAGAATTGCTTTTTCAGAATGTAAGGCTGAAGCAAGAATGTGAGTTTGAAGCAACAAGTGGCCCTGTGGTTTTTTAAGGGCGAGGGTGTCGCAAACATTGATGTCGGGGTGTTAAATGCTATAAACTACATTTCCTTTTCAAGCGCTCACCTCGGCAGAAGTCTTGTCTCCTCTGCCATCGCAGCATTGAACAAACTGCCTCTCTGACTATGTTGTGTATGACTGTATTCACTGGAACTCTATGTAATGTCTTTACCTGTTTGATATAACTCTCGGTACTAGGTCTTTTTCCTGACATCTCAATGTATCTTTTCAATGGAGCTTCGTATATATTTCTGTATATGTCTGTACTTAGGTTCATGTACTGTGTGGTGATTTTCTGGGGGCAGGATGCTTTACTAATGTAAACTGAATATACCATTCTCCTTTTAAACAACCAGTAGGATGCAGTAAATGGACCTGTACTTGTATAGCGCCTTTCTAGTCTTCCGACCACTTTAGACCACTCTTTACACTCAGCGAATCCATCGAACAGAAACTAACTCATTCATACACACCGATGCTATGCATATGCTATGGAGCAACTTGGGGTTCAGTATCTTGCTCAAGGATACTTCGACAGGTGGCAGGAGGAGCCGGGGATCGAACCAACAACCTTCCGATTGGGGTCAGCCCAGGGACAAAGAACAGGATGTAGAATCACATACATAACTCTACAACTGATTGCCTTAAGTTCTATTTCAGACTTTTAGTACTTTTGATTTTCAGTTCTCAGGAAAGGGGAATTGAAACATTGGTGGTTGAAGAGATTCATCTATTTACAGAGAATACAACTATTACTGTCTATCATCCCAAACAACACCTGGGGTACAGTATCAGTTAACAAATTAAAATCTTTTACTGTTTCTGACTACCTTTTAAATTATGGTTATTTATCACTATATGAAACCATGGCTATGATTCAAAACCATAAACCTCTTCACCAAGCCCTCACTTATCAGGAAACCAAAGTAGTCCAAATAGTTTTGTTAATGTCAAACCACACTCTTTCTGTGCCAGAAGTCTTTTCATTCTTTAAATACATCTGCCACTTTTCCGCCTTTATATGAAGCACATTACTGCAGGACCCATGTCCATGTCAAGTGAACAAAATGACCTTAAATATCAATCAAATCCACATAGATCAACAACAAGAGAACACAGTTCAAGAAAGTCACATTAGAGGAAGGAGACTTTTGCAAAAACTTACCTCCTGAGTTTCTCCGTACTGTGACATTTGTGACAAACCGGGCCATGTTGCGAATAGTGATGCTTTGCTGTGGAGTAACAGGTCAATTTAATATTATTTACATCTATATCAAGAGCTTAACACATAACAAATTAGAATGACATTATGTAGCTCACTAGAGGCTCACCTTGCGGATCTCGTAAAGTGAGATGCAGATGGAAAGAATTGAGATAATGAGTATACATATGGCGTAAACAAAATAGTGATCAATCATCCACAGGGTGATGCTGAACAACTGGAACACATAGAATGGGTTGAGGACCTAAAGAAGTAGATAAAGAGAGAGACAAAAGAAGAAACAGGTTCAATGTGATATTTCACCTTGGTTTTGTATAAAATTTCACAAACCCTCAAAAATCTATAAACAATTTTTTTCATCGCACCTCCTCAAACAGCAGTTTCATGTAAGGCTTCACAGGCACATCAATAAGGTTGGGCCCATACACACGTTTCCTAAAAGAATTGAAAGCATGAAATACTGCAGCCCTCTCTGGGATTAATGAATCTGTCAATTTCTCCATTCATTAATCCTTTCCTACCTCAAGTTCTGCTCCAGGTGACTCAGGCCCTTTTGGAAGCCATACAGGTCCTTGCAGGTCCAGTCCTCATTGAGGACACTACAGACAAAGACAGAAGGTTTCAACATTATGATAAACAATGACTTTCTATTCATAAAAAATATATTTTAAATCAAATTAAATGCACAGGATAAGCTGTTCAGTATATATTTTCCTGTTTCAGTACCTAACACGACAGAAAGTTCCTTTCCTGTCTATCCAAATGTAGCGTAATCCTTCAAACAGGTAGTAGCGCAGCAGCGTTTTCTGTAACACAATAAAGGTCACTTTCAGTCTGGGAAAGACGATCACTCAGAGGATAACATTATTTAGTTAAAATAAACTCCAATCATTACCATATTCCTTACCTCCTCCTTGTACAGCTGTACTGTATCTCTCCATTCAGTGTCCTCCAGCTCTCCCAACAAGTCCAAACTGAAAGGGACAAACCAAGTAAGCTTTATCCTTTTGTCTTTTAACAGTTTTCTCAGAGATGTGTGTGGTATTTAAAGACTAAAGGTGATTCTGTCAGAGGATAGAGATGTGTAGCTGACCTGCCCTCCTCCATCTCCTCTGTGAGGACCTCCACCACATGCTGCTTGCCAAAACTGTCCTGAAGGAAAGATGACACAAATATATCTGTGACTGCTGGAAACTAGACAACCACTTGAGCATTGGAAGCGCCCGATGCAGTGAGTCAGAGCCTAACACAGAATACTGCCAGACATGGTCCTTTTTTTATCAACACCCACCCATCCAACATTCATGCTGGGTGATCAGTGTCATCAGACAGAATCAACATACTGTATACTAAGTATGAAATCAAGGTATAAATATGCTTGAACATATTTAAAGGTTAAATAAAGAAATTGAACATATATTTAACAAGCTGAAAAAGTTACATTTCAGTGCAGGTTTTATAACAGCTATGACTGCTTTATCTAACATTTCATGACTGGGCCAGTTTCAGCCATTATGAGCCTAAACCTAGTCCTGCAGGTCTCTTAAAGAACACAAAAGGATATTGTGGGACGAATGGACACGCTTAGGTCAGCTAGTCTCAGTAATAAAGCCAGGTGTTTAAGTGGGTTTCGGAGAAGGAATTCATTTATTTTCTCACCCTTATTAGCAGAATATCTGCCAAAGCCAGAGGGCAGGAGCAGCAGCGTGCAAGGACAGCAAGCCGTGGGCGCCAGTGAAACATAATCAGGAGGAGACCCAAGGACAGCACGGCAGCCAGACGACATAACCACACCCGCCAGCGCACCCACTTATAACCCTGAACATCCTGGTGGGGCAAAGGAGACAGAGTCAGGTCAGATTCAAGAAGGGCTGCAACTATCGATCATTTCAATTGTTAATTAGTTGTTTGGTCCATAAAATGGCAAAAAAATGTTGATTTCTGTTTCCCAAAGCCCAAGGTGACATTCTCAAATGTCTTGTTTAGTCCACTACCTGAAGATATTCAGTTTACTGTCGTAGAGGACTAAATAATCCAGCAAATATTCACAAGAGAATCTTAAATCAGAGCAATTTGGAAGTTTCTTTTCTTAAAAAATGACTCAAATTACTCCTCAATTACCAAAATAATTGCAGATTATGTAATGGTTGACAACTAATCAGTTAATCAACGAATGGTTGCACCCCTAGGTTCAAACAGAGGTTTATTTCCTTACAGCTGGTTTATCAGCACCCACATTATAAGATAAAAAAAGCCAGTCAAATGCCAGATTGGGACAGAGGCTGGTTCTGCTTTCAACAGTGACACCTGAAGCAAATGTGATATTCAAAACCACTGATTCCTCTGTATCTGTGAATAGCAAGGGTATAGGGAACCATGCACATCTCTCATTTCTACATCTGCAGATGACAGGTGTCATTGTGCGTTTTTCTACACCACGTCAAGCAAGTGAAGCACACTACCAGTCAAACATTATCTGCCACACTTGGGGCCATTAACAGTTTAGCAGAAACACTGTGGAGGTACTCACCATGTGTGAGTCAGGACTGAGCAGGGGGTCTCGTGGACTGGGTGAGGGGAGTCCGCTCTGCGGCTCCACCACACTACCTACAGGTAACAGGTTACACATTGTTAGCACAACAATTCCTCTGTTACAACATTTACATTAACTGAGCAGCATGATACACACCCTCAAAGTCAATAGGTACAAAACACTGAAACGCTCTAATCCAGTCCACGTTGCACATTGCAATAACCTTTTTGGTGGCATGGTTTAAATCACATCTTTGGTATGAAGACAGAAGTGAAATATAAAAACATGGCAGTTTTTTGTCATACAATGTGGTCTAAACCTCATGAGCGAGTCATCAGACACCTCATACACTTTACAGGATTATATCCACAGTCTAGGCACTGTAGTTAAAACTATGTTTTTGGGTGTTCAATTATTTAAAATGAATCAAAAAGTCCCAGCGGGAGAAAATAGGATGCAATACAAACACAGGCAAAGTATAGGAAAACACGATTATAACCATAAACTGTAAAAGGTCCCTAAACACACCTGAGTACAAAGGAAACACTGAGCTCCTAAAGAAAGATTAACTTTTAAGGGCTACAGAGGAGAGTAAAACACATCATAAAGTGCTACACGTTTACAATAAACCCCATACATTAATAGTATACAATAACAGAGGAGATAAAAAACAACAACATTAGTGCAGTAAAGTGAGTAGTTTGTTTAACCAGATGCCCGCTTCCGCTTCCAAAGATCCGGGAAATCTCGGAACAAAACCAACTTCTTTCAAATGAAAACCCATCCGAGGGAGAAACTGAGCTTACCGACAACCGGAGACCGTAAGTCTAAAAGCAAATAACTTCCCAAAATGAGAGAGATAAAGCCTGTGGAGTGAGCAAACGTTAGAGCTGCCGCCGGTGAGCTTCAGCTGCTGCAGCTCCTTCTTCTACCTGCTGCCTCGAGCGTCTGACACCGGACCGACATACCGGTCCGACCGGTTTATGAGCTCATGTGGGACACGAGCCCACAAGGCCGGACGAACAGCAATAAACAAACAATACACAATATGTTGACAAAGAACGGCGTAAAAGAAAAAATTTAACATTTAATGTGTTTGTTATTACACGTTATAGACGCTGAATGACACAAACAAATGGTGTATCTATGTGTTGTTATTTATTAATACATAGGACAACAAAGGCGGACATCTCAATATATTCGCACAGTTCGATGAAAGGTAAACTTATAAATATATAGTCGATAGTTTTCCTTCGGCAGCAACATATCAGTCTTACCAAAGCCATCACAATGAGTTGAACATCAGTTATCAATGAGGTAGCAGTTGACTAAGAGACTGTTTGTGAAGTTAGGTTCATATTTGTTGCTCTGGTTCCATATGGACATTAATCTACACACACTGCACAATACACACACTGCACAATACACACACTGCACAATACACACACTGCACAAGAAACCAAAGAGCTGAGTCGTCTGTTTTGTCATTATGCACATGACTGTAGGATAATCATGTGAGAGCTTATCATGTAACTGAGTTATTTGTTCTAACTGGGCTAATCTCTACCAAAAGTCGCCTAAAAAATATCAGGTTTTGAAATCAAACGCCGCTGGCTTCTCAGTTTAAAATCAATTTTCATGGTTTTCTGTGTGTCAGACTATTTGGAATTACATGTTTATATACATTTCTTATCTATTTCACCATAAAGTTACACAGTTACAAAGTTACAGTTTTGCTTCAATAGTCTAAAGTGACATTAAATCAAGCAATTCCTTCACATACCTCACTTAAAAAGACTGTCAACACACACAGGAATCCCAGGCATCTGAAAGTCATCCCCTTTGTCCCAGGCTTAGAGGGGAGGAGGACTGCCCAACAATGCAACATACAAATCAGAACGCTACAAATCTGACTCAACTATAAAAAGTCCAGGTTTTCATTTTCATTTTCAACCAGGCCGTTACACATGGCAAACTTTCTGCTGCGTCAAAAAAGGGAAACGCATGCATACAAATGACTAGACAGACACCAGACTGTCATCTGAGCTGAAACTGCAAAAAAAAAAAAAAAAAGACAGACATCCCCTAAATGCAAATAGCACAACACCAATCTCACATACAGGTCATGTCAAGGCCAATATCCTGTGCACTCACCTTCAGTACCTGGCTGTAAGGTGCACTGTGTAACATTTAGGAGGATCTATTGACAAACAATCTAATATTCAGAGGTATGTTTCATTAGTGTGTAATCACTTGAATGTAAGGATCGCTGTGTTTTCATCACCTCAGAGCACCCAAAGAGAATTAGTGATTAACTCTGCAGTTCCCCTGAGGTCTAGGGAGCGTTTCAGCGTCTTTTAGCTGACTGTTTCAGTTTTACTGTCACTGATTCAGTCGTACCGCTCTCCTCAGCAAGGCAGCTGTTTTCAATAGAAAAAGCTCTGATAACCCCACCGTACCCTACCTGCCCGGCACCAAACAACAGACAGTTTATTTATTTCAATCAATTAATGCAGGTTTGGACACGTAACATACATATTTTTGATATGTACTCATTAAATTTGTTTTTTTAAAGAATTGTGACAAAGATAATGTAGTGAGCAGGACATTTTACAGTTAAAAAATGAACCTGCCAGTTCTCTCTGCAGATCCGTTTACCATTTCAGTAATGCAATTTTCTCGTTGACATTTTTCATCCTACACAGAGACCTACTAACAGAGGGTGTAGTGTTACATACAGAGGCCGGTGAACTGTGGGTTAACTGTATTTTACCCACCTCATTGAATGATACAGTTATCTGAAAAGAGATTGTAAACTGACTTTACTTGGGTTTACTCCCCACTATGTCCCTGTTACTAACAAACCACATGGCAGTAGTGCTTGCATTAGTATCTGTATTAGCAGTAGTGGGGAAATAGTGAGGCCTGTGGATTATGCAGACTAACAGGGGCGGTGTTTCCGAAGAAAAGATGAATTCAATTTCACTCATAAAAGTCCTCCCACCTCCATTGTGATGGGGAGGAATCAGAGATGGATATCTGACTGCCAGCTGTGCACATAAAAGCAGCACATCTGCCTGTCCTGATACCAGCACCAACAGGACAGAATAGGTTTTTGTTGTATTGTAACTTATGGTGAAACTGAAACGACCCTTTACGTGCAGACACATTTATTATATGTTATTATATGAACATGTCTAACTGGGGAACGAGTGCTTATTAATTGCGTTCATCTAAATAAGTTATTTTCCTAATTTGACGCCTTTTTATGATATTTAAATGCAGGTTTGAGCTAAAGTTAACTCACCCTGTGTTTATAACACTACATTACTGAGTCTAGTACATTACTATTGGTGATTATTTAGGTTAGTTTAACCGAACACATGGTGAACATTTCGCAGACAGTTGTTGCCGCCATAAAAGCAGCAGTCAGTAAACATCTCACTGACAGTCAGTAAACGTCTCACTGACAGTCAGCACAAGATAACTCGCTCCTGGCTGCCTGGTTTCAGCTAACAGTTAGCAAACCAGTCTGTGCAGCTGTCCTGTGTTCTTCTCTCCGGAGGGAAAGAGTATTTATTATCCTTCAGACACACTTACCACGTCTGTCCATGCTCTGGTCACGATGCCAGCGTCCACATTGCCTCCTTTCACACTGCCCCAACCTCACTGACAGGCTGTCTGCTAACCGCACACACAGGCTGCTTTCAAAACATCTCTTATCTGCACACTGGACCTTTCTACGGGAACTCACGGTGTCCAAAATAGTCGCACGTACGCGTTCCCAAACGTAGAAAGACCTTTCCGCTTATGTCTGTTGTGGTGGTTGATTGTGAAAGCCGCATTTCTGGTCAAAACCTGCTCAGTTCCTCCTAAAGCGGGTGGTTATGGGGATATTTATAAAATATGTGATATGATTCATATATTCCTGAATATAATATCAATGAATCTAGGAAATGTATTCATCATTATACTACACAAGGTTGTAGAACGGAATTAAAGTGTTTTAGGTCCTTCACACGTAGAAAGAAACATAATAAAAATTATAGAATAACATAAAAGATAAATAGAATAAAATGAAACAAAACAATATATAGTTATTCGGTTTGAACTTTTATCACATTTTTTGGGAAGTTGGAACATGAATGAAAGAAATGGGGTTCGATCAGTTTGATCATTGATTGATTTTGGTGACTTTATTCAGAACTAAAAATAAAACAGTATGAGGGGATTAATAGGAACAATAGGGGATTCCTTGAGACAAGACCCTCTCCCAATGGGGCTCCATGGTCTAATATGCATCTGTTGTGAGGGTCCTCGAAATTTTCATCTATAGCTTCATTATAATTCATTTCATTTTGGCTGGTACTTACCCTCCTCCACCATACTGTAAAGCCACTGGCTTTAAACCAGCATTAGTAACCCAGCTTATTGCGTATTGCGTCATGGTGGATCAGACTTCTAGCTTTGGTACCCAGGTTTCTCTCAATCCTCAACCAGATGAAGCCAGCTTTCTTGTTCACATCAGAAAACTAGGAAGAGTCATCATTTAATGTGTGGTAATATACTCTTTAAACCGTTCAGTAAATCTCACAAAGATATGTAAACAAACAAAGCTGGTATTTAGTTATAGCAAGTATTTATTTATAGTCAGCCATGTATTTTTTTGTGTCCAGAAACATATTTTTGACTTCCACAATGAGCTCAGCACATCTTTAATGAACACATATTTAAATATTTACAGTCGGAACACAATTTCATGAGTTTTTCCCAAAGAGTAAATACAACAGAGCCCAGTATTTCCACTGTGCACACAAGCAGCAAGAAATGGTCCAAATGGTTGCATCACTCAAAATATTTTGCTCAACAGTTCTTTCCAGCAGCCTTTTGTCACATATTCCTGTCGTCTGCTCCCTTATACAATCACACTCACACACATCCACACACTCCCATCTCACACACTCATGAAAATCAAAAAAGGTGCTGATGTGGGCAAATGTTCCTGGTTGGCTCTTCTCTTCCTCTTAACTTAGTTCAAGGTTTTATTAGCGGATCTTGAGCCAGCTGGATTTTTTACAAAGCTGCTGCTCTCTTCTCTTTGTAAGTCGCCATCATTTTCTTGATCTCTGCTATGGCCCTTCCCGGGTTGAGTCCCTGTGGAGACGTGTGTCCAACAGACAGTGAGAAACTGAAACTCTATTAACTCTGTGAGAGAGAGGGTGTATGTGTGTGAATACAATTTTTGAAGTACCTTGGGGCAAGTCTTGGTGCAGTTCATGATAGTGTGGCAGCGGTAGAGAGAGAAGGGGTCCTGAAGTTTAGACAGGCGTTCCTCAGTGAATTCATCACGGGAGTCAATCATCCACCGGTACGCCTGTGGGACGGTAACACTTGTCATCTGTCTCATTTTCCATGTTGGACATTTGAGTTCATGAATTGATTCCTCTTAAACCCACGACTTTTAAAGTGGTAAAGTGTTTTAAAGTTTCTAAGTACAGTTTCAGCATGTAACCGACATCTGCATGGCAACATCCAATAGTTGACCGTACCAACTCTAACGTCAGCACTGAGCTCAAGCACAGGTGAGCCTCAGTACAGCTGAGGCTAATAAACTGCACCTCAGGGTGAAATGTACAAAAACAGCCACTGACAAAATGATAATCTGATTAACTATAAGCAACATGGCCTTTTCTCTGGCTCCACCTCCTGGCCATATTATTTGCCTCACTAGTGGTAAGGATCTATCAAAGTTTTTTTTTTCCCATTTTTCCTCTATCTGATCATTTTGGTTTGGCTTGTAATGAGCATTAGAGCCACACGAGGCCTCCATACTAGGGTAGCTGTGGACCACATTTAATATGTGAATCTGTGGGACACCTGTCTCATATGTCTTTACCCACCTGCATTAGGACAGCAGGTCCCAGGTATTTGTCTCCGTTCCACCAGTAGCTGGGACAGCTGGTGCTGCAGCAAGCACACAGGATGCACTCGTACAGACCGTCCTGTCGGGTTAAGAAGAACAGCTCATTCTGACGGCCCATGTGGTCCTCTATCTCTCCACAGGCAAATCATAGACAGGTTGGCTGACCAGTAGAAGACGTGTTCTATCATTTGTGGGAGGTCTGTGTTTCATAGAGTCAAGATGTTGGTTTATTTACCAGTTTCTGCCTGTCCTCCACCGACTGGAAGTACTGCTGCTTCCCCTCTTGAGTTTCATCTTTCTTTTTCAGGTAGGGCTCGATGGATTTGTACTGTGCATAGAAGTTACTCATATCCTAGTGGAAATCATATGAGGGAGAACTCATTACAGGAGCTCATATAACCAATAAATGCACTAATATAGTAATATTCCATTATTCCTATGTTTTAGTCGTCATGCTCTAGTGTTCATGAATGTGACCATGGAAATAAACTTTCTACACCTGCAGTACTTACAGGCACCAGATCTTTGACCACATACATGTGTGGGAGAGGGTAGATCTTGCTCGGTTTGCTTGTGTTGGTGTCAATTTTGTTAAGGCATGCCAGTGTGTTGCCTCCGTTTATGTTCATGGCACACGAGCCGCAGATACCTGAAGAAATACACAATCAGCTGATCACTGAAATTCTTTACGTCACTACGTGCGAGTTAAATCATGATCCTTGTTTCTTACCCTCACGGCAGGAGCGTCTAAATGTGAGCGTGGGGTCCATCTCATTCTTAATCTTGATGAGGGCGTCCAGAACCATTGGACCGCAGCTGTATTAACAAGAACATATCGATAGATAATGACATTGATTACATTCATGTAAAAAGTAAAACACAACTCAACAGTGTTCTGTTCATTGACCCGGTCATGACTTACGTGTTGAGATCAATTTCATATGTCTGCATTCGGGGTTTGTCTCCGGGGGTGTCGGGGTCCCAGCGGTAAATCTGGAACTTCTTGATCCTGGGTTCAGGAGCCGGGGCGGCGGCAGTCTGAGCATACCGCACCATCTGCGTCACAGGTCATAATACATTTTAAAAAATGTTTAATTCCTCCAGGTATTTTTGGCTTTCACCTCTTCCACTTTCTTTCAAGTACAAGTAAGATAAAGAGCAATAAAGGCAAGAGTTATGTACAAAGGAACACATAATAACGTGACCTGGCAGCTGGTTACGTCAACCAAGGCTAAAATAGGGAGCCCTTTGTAATTCTATCCTTTAACACCAGAGGATACTACTGCTAGTAATACATCAACTCATACAAACAACAATTCACTTTATCTTTACGGCAGAAATCAGACAAAATTAACAATTATTTCTTTACAGTAGAATGAAGTGGCAAAGTAATTTAATAAAACAAACGTACCATAAGATTAAAAAAAAAAAAAAAAACGTATATGGTATATAGTGGTATATAGTAGTTTACCCCTTTTGCATAAGGAGGTATAAAGTCGCCCCCTACTGGTAGCTTCGATGAACTGACGGGAAAGTGTTACATCACTGTGCAGTCGCTGGTTACCTAACTGACTCTTTAAGGACAATGAAAAATGGACTTTACACACTAACTTAAATATTTCTATACAGTTATGAGAAGTAAACAAGTAGTTGTGTACGCTAACTGCTAAAAAAACCCTGAGACTTGATATATAAGTCTAACAGGAGGGAGGAGTTGCACAACAGCTCATTCACAGTGGCTAGGTTTACTGAGCATTTATTATAGTATACGTGGACTGTTTAGCTTGGTAATTAATAATGTTAATGTTTACTAATGTCATTCACACTTTACAGTGAAGCAGATAGTGCTAACATGGGTTTCTTCATTCTTCTGTCACATTTACACACACCTAGCCTGAGAGCAGGGTGTGTTACTACAGGTCGTTTAATGACAAAGGTTGAACACAGTTTATACTATAGCTACTGTACAGTAAACACAAACTGTACTTTACTTTAAATCAACACAAACACCCAACTGTTGGCATACTCACCCCAGATATTCTTTCTCTCAGAATAGAGATACGCCAGCTGAAATTATGTTCATGCTCTCTATATTTATCTGAAATAAAAATACTAGTTAGTCTACTTGATATTTATTGACCACCAAATCCATTAGCCCAGATTCCTGATCTGTCCTAATAACTATTTCGACCTCTAATTACTGCATAACACCAGTTTCTGACGACAGCTCAGGTTCTCCTACAAGAAGGTAGATCAGAGAACATAAGTAAGTATTCAGTACCTGATAAACAGGAGACGTGCTTCATTCTTATTTGTCTCGACAGGGAGAAATCATGCCTTATTCTAATGTTGAAGTTAAGATACTACTGAAATAACAAAATCAAGGAAAAGACTATTGACATCTCTTGCCTCTATAGTGTGTCAGGTGTGAGAGCATGATCACACAGGCTAAACTCAGTAGCACCGCCTCTGATCATTGCACTCACAGCTGCTACTCTGTGATTACGTCACTCTACGGCCTCCGCCTCATCTGATTGTAGTGATTTATGTGACGGAGTCCTATGCTTTACCCTTACATCTGTATTCTCTGCACTTGAGGTCACACCGTTGCGAGTTAGCGACGTCCTATGGATATTTGGCCTTGTTCCCCCAGAGCCTTTCGCCACGGCGTCATATCGAGGCGAACATGGAGGCAAGTAACTCTACTACACAAATGTCATTGGATTTCCATTTTATACATGTGCTGTCACAGCAGACGAGGGAGTGGAATCAATAAATATAACACATCCGATCGCATGTGAATGCCGTGCGGAGCATCTACTGCAGACGATAGATAGTCTCACCACTTTAATATTTTCATGCCATGTTTATATGAGACCTTTGTATGCATATATGGTGTCAAATATATGAGGCTCTGTGCGTTGTTGTATGTATACATGTTGAACAAGTCGAATAATATCAGAAAAGGATTAAGAAATAAACTAAGTCATGGGAATACCTAAAACCCATGCAGCGAATTCTCAAAGGCATCCATTCAATGATACCGTGCTATGTAATCTTTTCAACAAACCTATGCTTGTAACGAGGGTCAGTTATATGTATCCACAACTAAAATACAGTGCCACAGTGCTGTACTAGTGGTATGTGCAATTCATTTTAACTGGGTTATGATTATAATGAGTATAATAAGCTTTTCCCATAGACTATATCTCAATAGTTTTTATTTGATGACAGCAAATATATATTATACAATTGATTAAAAACAGATTGACACACTTTACTGAATGTATCTCATTTTGGGGGTATATTTTCATACTGTACAGTTTTACATATGTAAGTTTGCAGGCCCTCTTACCATTTTGTGTTACCCTTAGTGAGCATTGTTACTCAATCTGTCCTTGACCCATCCATGTTTATCTATGTAAAAAATATATGCTATATTCTGTTACTGATTTTTTGCTGCAATAGTCCAGAAACACTTTAATTTAGTCTTAAATAATACTTACAGTTACTTTTGATAGATTACTGTATGTTACCCTAATAATGGCTAATAAAATAGATAGGAGTCACTGGGTGTGGTTATATTTAGTCTGTTTTATGTATGTATTATGGTGATGTATTAACTGCCAGTCTGTTCTTATTTAATATGCCTGACATCGCTGGGGCAGGGATGTACTCTATAAGCTATTCTGATGGTAATGCATTTGAAGGTCGAGGGGAAAAACTTATGTAGATTTTAATTTATTCAATGCTATTTGTCCACATGGTCAATGAAATGTAACAGTCTCAGGATTAGAAATAAGATGTGATACAGCTTATAGGGCTGCTCAAATGTTTTCCAGGATCAGAAACCCAAATATGTTACATTATATACCAACTATTGTCTGATGGTATTTATCTCATTCTATCTGTCAACCACACAAATAAACTAAACACAGTGAGACCTCACAATGACAATACATGGCTTAAGCATGGATGAATTGGACACTATCAGATGCAGTGATTAAGTGTTTTCCCTTTTTTCAGAATAAAAGCATTTAATTTGTCACCTGAAGGAATAATTCGTTGATACATGGCTCTCCACTCAACAGCCAAACATAGGTTGAAACCGACATTTCAGTATAGAAAACCTCTGTCTGACTTTTTGGGCTATGATTTCTTTGGGTTTATTTGAATGCTCTATAATTTACTCCCATGGATACATGGTATAGGTACAGACCAATAAAATAACACAAAACAGGCAGTGAATGGGATATTATATATGTGTGTATATATACAACAATTTATACTTAGATCAACCATAAAGTCCTCTCATTTCACGTTGTATAAAATGTTTTAAAAGTTTATTTATGTTTGTCAATAATCGTTTTCTTTTGAAAGTCTTGACTGGAAGTCTTTCACCTTTTGGTCTTCTACTTGACTCTGGTTCAACCAGCATGGTGCTACCCTGCAACTGTGGAGCCACTCAAACTTCAGTGCATTGCCCGGACACTATTGAAGCAGCATGTCGTGGCTCTTCGGCTGGGGGAAGAGCTCCGGGTCGCCGCCGGTGGAAGAACCGGCTGCTCCTGCTGACGGTGCCGGGGGAGCATCAGGGGGTGCAGGGGGACACAAACCCGGGGATAAGTGGAGTAACTTTGACCCGACTGGGCTGGAGAGAGCTGCAAAAGCTGCAAGGGAGCTCGACAAATCACGTGCGTACACTTGTTATTATTATTTATTTATTTATTTTCCCCACAATTGAACACAAAGAAACACAAATATTTGCTTTCTTTCATTATTTCTGTGCTTTTTTAAAAAGTCCAGTAATTATTTTCTCCACTTAACAAATTGTCCCATGTTGGCACGCTCTGTTCTTTTCGGGTGAGAGCACCTCACGCCGAATCCCACACAAAATGTTAGGCTCAAAGTAAAGTGTCTCCCTGGCAAATGTGCACAATGTGAACATCAACTTGTATGAGCACTGCTGAACGGTCGGGGGTCTATCTTTAATTCGGCATACATATTTCAGACTTAGCAGCACAGTAAAGATAACATTTAAACTTTTTAAACCGGTTTACCTCCTCAGACACTGGAGGCCAGGGGCTCGCAAAAACTATGAAACACGTCCGACCCGACTGTTATAATATGTTCTGCCTTAATGTTCTTTATCAGTAAACTTTAACAGCTCTTAAGTTTACAGTATTTGAGAGTTCTGTGTAATTTGCTCGTGGAAACAGCCTGCCACACACGTGTCAGTAGGCTGTTTGACCTCCAGTCCATACAGTCTGCAGCAAAGTTAGAGAGATTTGGTGGGCGTGTCAGAGAGCAAAGAGGGAACAAAGTGTCCCTGCGAGCTCAGCCCCTCACCTGTCCCATACATCAGTCCCTTCATGTCAGCATGTGCAAATGAACATGCTTACTGCTGTTCACTGTGTGAGGGTATTTTTTACCCAGTGCGTGTCAAGGACTGCACACATTTGTTTTTAGCGACTCTTTTTTAGATTTCTGCGACGCTTTCTGCAAACACACTGAGAAACAGGCTCAGTTCTACATCATCTTGTGGTGGCACAGTATACCCTAAAGTGTAACTATAATTGCCATGGTGGTTAAATGTAAGCAGTTGAATGAATAATCTGCACCACTGTCTGATTTCTTTTTTTATTAATTTCAAAAGGACATGCCAAAGAAGCGCTGGGACTGGCTCGTATGCAGGAGCAGAGTGTACAGCTGGAGCTACAGAGTAAAGTGAAAGTAGGTGTTGGAGGAGGGAGATTCATTGATAAAGGGCCTCTGATGTGATTGTGGGATCACCTGACACTGTGTTCAGAAGAGGTTCCGGCTAATCCCTGATGTCAGTAAGCATAACACAAACTCCCCCTACAGGAATATGAGGTGGGTTTGGAGCAGCTGAAGGGCGAGCAGATCCAGCTACAGGGGGAGGAGAGACGGAAAACACTTGCAGAGGAGACAAAGCAAAACCAGGCAGTATGGGATTAACACTGCACACGCTGTGCTATTCTGACAGTCAAACATAAGTTTCATCCAAGTAATGTACTTTCCCCATTTGGGGATTAATAAAGTAAATCTTCTAATACATCTTGCATGTGAATGTAATGGATTGTTTTCTGTATCACCTCTAGAGGGCGCAATATCAAGACAAACTTGCCAGACAGAGGTATGATGATCAGCTCAGGCAACAGGTAAACGTTTTAAATGGACATTTGAAATGAATACCTGCATATCTGAATGGAGCCTTCGTCATAAATATTATTTTGTCCGCAGCAATTCCTGAACGAGGAGAACCTTCGCAAACAAGAGGATTCCGTTATGAAGCAAGAGGCCATGAGAAAAGGTATAAGATAAAAGCAAAAGCACCCTTGCACCTACACATTATTCATGCACTCATAATGCCATGTAAAGACTTTTTTATTATCTCAATTAAAGATGAAATATGTAAGATCTGTGCTGCTCCATAGCAAAGAATGACCCTAATATATCTGCAGGGGTCAATAAGGTTGTTGATAAGTACTGATGACTCAGCGATTACAGGGCACACTGTGAGATTTGTGGCTCTTTTAAGTCTCTCTGGGGTCTGGACTGTGTGTTGGATTATTATATATAATATATCAATATTAACATTCAGTGTGTATCATGATGACGAATTAGCTCCTCAGTAGACACTTACATTAGGTGTCTGCTCTAATTAGTTAGGTTGCTCCTCTTTTTCTTTTCTTTTCTTTAATTGAACCAGAAAAAACAGACATGAATAAACCTTTTGTAATAGTATCTTAATAAGTAGATAAAAGATAAGTAGATGAAGAAATAGTGTAGGGACATATACCCCACAGTAAACAGTAAAAACAAAATTAGTTTTTGATGGCTCTCAAATTCAGTGCTGCGTTGTGGATTAGTCATGAAGAAAATATTTGTTTAAAGTTGCACTAAATAATATTTCTGTATTAAAAATGGATCCAGTGACTGTGTGTGGTGTGAAAGGTGTCTTTCCTCGTGTATCATCACCCAGCTCTGCAGTGTCCTTCAACTGTCAACACACATTCATGAAAATTACCAAAAATTCAGTAGATTTGTCAGCTTTTTAAAAAGTAATATTTTTATTAACACAATTTAATAATATATAAACCACCAATCCATGCCCAAAGCCAAACACACGCTCACTTTAATTTGTTTGAATTTCTGTAGAAACATTTTACAAAACAAGTTACAAAATGCCATTATCAGGAGAATGAGACCTCTTTTATGTCAGTTACAAGCCACTGTAAGGCTGATGAAAATAATTTATTACTTAACAGCCACTTCAGCGTAAAATGCATATAGTTTCCACATAAGAAGAGATTTAAATCTTAAAATTTTAATATTTAAATCAGTTTCAATCTAGTTTTTTCATAAAATAATAGAATAGTAAGTTAAACCATGATGATTTAAAATAGGTCAGCTCTGTCGCAAGTGGTCATAAACATGTCGTTATTAATATCTGCTTCTCTTCCTCCCAGCTACCATTGAACATGAAATGGAGCTGAGACACAAGAATGACTTGCTTCGCGTTGAAGCCGAGGCCAAAGCCCGCGCCCAGGTGGAGCGGGAGAATGCGGACCTGATCAGGGAACAGATCCGCCTGAAAGCTGCTGAACACAGACAAACTGTCCTTGAATCTATAAAGTGAGGGCAAAGTGACTTTCCACTTTCCTTAATTCTCTGAGTAACTGGCATGTTATCTTCTAGTATCTCTCGCAGCTAGTACGTAGGTGTTTAACAGAAGTCCCAGAGGGTGTCAGGGAGTTTGGCTGCCACAGTGGAGCCAGTCAGTGTGATAATTGTGTTTTGTTCCTGGCAGGACGGCAGGAGCAGTTTTTGGAGAAGGATTCAGGGCCTTCGTCTCTGACTGGGACAAACTCACAGCCACGGTAAATCTATGTCAGACCTGTCATGCTTTATCACACTTTGACCACAGGAGGACCGCAGAGGATTATGTGAAGCAGTGGTTGTCATATTTGATATACTGTACTGTATGTTTGAAGATGTGTGTGTTTGCTTTTTTTCGCCCCTCACAGGTTGCTGGGTTAACTCTGTTGGCAGCAGGAGTGTATTCTTCCAGGAACGCCACAGCAGTGGCCGGCCGCTACATAGAGTCCCGTCTGGGCAAACCCTCACTGGTCCGCGAGACCTCTAGGTTAACTGTTGCAGAGGCCATCAAACACCCAATCAAGGTCATATTACAGCCCAATTACCATGTTTGTACTGTTTATTGTGTGGCTGGTGGCCTGCTGATAGGATCCAAATGTCTGATCATTTACAAAAGATTGAGATGCACGCAGGATCTTTGTGTGTAAATAGTATATTTTTATCAGGCAGCTTTAGATGTAAATAAATACATTCTACATAGTGGATATCTACATAGTACATAGAACCACTGTTCATAAATATCAGTGGAATGTCTGGAACCTTGCTGTAATTGAGGTCTTCGACATCAGCCTGTAACAGCTGGCAGCGCATCAAATTTATTTTCTGACAGGAAATTGTTTAAATTGGTTTATTCATGTATCGTCTGCAACCCATCCAGCTAATAGTGCCAAATTGACTGAATTTGGGTGAATTTTAGAACGTATCATGAAAATGGCAAAAACTTCAAACATGCTATCAGTTATAGGAATGATGTGTGTATAAAATGAACGAGCACATTCATTCTGTTTCTCAGACACCAAACCAACAACGTGTGTGCTGAATGTTTCAAGTAGTTTTCAAAATCTGTATGACAGACAAGAAGCCCGACATAGGGCAGAAGCAGCAGGGTCAGTTACTGGTGATAAAGTGATCTTATCTGTACATTATGACTACAAGCTCTCCATATCAGACATAGTTCCTTTGACTAGCTGTCAATTGTTGAAGCTAAAACAAGTCACCATGCAATTCTCTGCTTTCCTCATTTTTTAGACAGCCAAGCGTCTGAGAAGCAGACCGCAGGATGCCTTAGAGGGTGTGGTGCTCAGCGTGAGTCTTTTACTACTTTTTTGGGCATATTGATATCTTCTGAATTCAACATTCATATACTCTTTTAATGGTTTTGTGAAAAAAGCTGAATGCTATCATTGTGCAATGGATCACACAGGCAGCTTTGGAGGAACGTGTGAGGGACATTGCCATTGCCACTCGGAACACCAGGCAGAACAGAGGCTTGTACAGAAACATCCTGATGTACGGACCCCCTGGAACTGGTAAAACACTCTTTGCCAAGGTATGGCTGGATCAAACACCTTTTGATTTTCTTTGTCTTTGTTTTTTTAATCTTTTTAGCTGTAGTGGATGGATGAAGATGAGTACAGTGGCTATATATAAAGGGGGGTTTTACTACTCCTTACTGCTGATTTACATACTACAGTACTAATACAACCTATTAAAGCCAGTTCAGGAAAGTCTTTTTGGCCCAGCATTCAGGGTCTGGACGGTCTTTTCTGGCAAAAATCTCTGTCCATGTGACGTAATTCAGTATCTTTTTCTGGTTTTGTTTTTGATCCATAGAATGACTGATGAAATATTTCACCACAAAACCATACAGATCTTACAGATATCACTTAAAAATGTTTATGTACATAATGATATTTACAGTATTTTTTAAATACATTTTGAGGACATTTTATTATTGCATTAAATATCTAGTTCAGTTATAATAATAATAATAATAATAATAATAATAATAACAAGCTCTTTCCACTACCTTTCAGAAATTGGCTCTCCATTCCGGGATGGACTATGCCATCATGACAGGTGGGGACGTGGCACCCATGGGGCGCGATGGAGTCACTGCCATGCACAAGGTGTTTGACTGGGCCAGCACCAGCGGCCGAGGGTAGGGCGCTTTAATTAACTCCATTAATGCTCAATGAATTAGTATTAAAATGTGTATCAGCTGTTAAATATTTACTCTGAAAGTTCAGTAGTGTAGATCATATGTTGTGTTAGAGCATAGAGCTGCTGCAATTCTGCTGGCCTTAAAGAAAATGGCAGCTTTAAGCTCATTCTCTTTGATGTCCTCTGACTCTCTGCAGCCTCTTGCTGTTCGTAGATGAAGCTGATGCGTTCCTGCGTAAGCGCGCCACAGTGAGTTCAGCTGCAGTGCCATATGCATGGTGATGGTGCCCTGTGTTTTAATCATATATTCATGAGTCATGATTTTTACATTGCAGGAGAAAATCAGTGAGGACCTCAGAGCCACTCTCAATGCATTCCTCTACCGCACCGGGGAACAGAGCAACAAGTCAGTATCTTACATTATTCACTCTGCATGGCTGGGTATGAAAAGGTCATTGCCATGACTGAAAAGGTCACCGGCTGAGTCTAAGTAGTCTCATTTTCTCTCTTCAGGTTCATGCTGGTGCTTGCTAGTAACCAGCCAGAACAGTTCGACTGGGCCATTAATGACCGCATTGATGAGATTGTAAACTTTGCATTGCCGGGTCTGGAGGAGAGGGAAAGATTGGTGCGCCTGTATTTCGACAAATTTGTGCTGGGTCCTGCCACTACAGGGAGACAGTGAGTACACTTATTGTATTTCAGTAACAGCTACTGTTGCTCCATTGCAGATGTGATTTACTACTGCAAAGGAAAGCATTTGTCCCTAGAGGTCGCATTGCTAGCTCAAGTTGCATAATGGTGTATATAATGTGTTCAATCCTAAAACCAAAGTGCTGGCTGAGTCTTTACTTATTTCTTTCATGAAATGGTGTTGAAGTCCTCAGGAGATGTAGTACAGAAGCTGTTACAAAATGTTGGTCAGTTGAAAAGTACAGATAATCAGTGATATGAAACAAGTTAAAGCTCAAAGCTCACTTACTGTACAAACCTTTTGTGCCTTAATTCAACAGGAGATTAAAGTTGGCTCAATTTGACTATGGCCAGAAGTGTTCAGACATTGCAAAGCAAGCAGAAGGCATGTCTGGTCGGGAAATCTCCAAACTTGGTGTGGCCTGGCAGGTAAGTAGAAAATCCTTCAAAATATGAATCTGCTTCAGAACAAATCCAAAGCCAACCTTTTATCAAATTTGTTTCCTGGAAGGCTGCTGCATACTCTTCTGAAGATGGAGTTTTGACTGAAGCCATGATTGACTCAAGAGTTAATGATGCCATCAAGCAGCATGCACAGAAAATGGACTGGCTGCTGATGGAAGCAGGTGCGGGGGTTGGCAAAGTCGGTGTACTCCTCCCTAAGGAAATGGCTGCAGAAATCACAGCACAGGAAGCTGCTTCACTTGGACAAACAAATGATACAACCCCAACTGTACAACAAGTCCTTCCATTCCTTGATGTTGTGAGCAATGCTTCCCAGGCAGAAACAGCCACTCTTCCTTCAGAAGTGGAGGCAGATGTTATCCTTAAAGAGGCAGCCACTTTGATTAAAGAAAGTGAAGATGTTGCTGCGAGAACTGTAGGAACAGTTGAAACCATTGCTGAGACAGCTACTGCTGCCCCATTGGTGCAGGAGATTGAGGCCATCAAGGATATGACTGAGGAGGTTGTAAGCACAGCAGCAGTTACAGACACTATTGTTTCTGAGGTTAAGGATATAGTCAGTGAGGTTAAAGACACAGAAAGTATACAAGGTACCACTGTCCAAGAAACTGCTGCTTTCAGTAAAGAAGAGCTAACTACTGATGTAGTTGCGCAAGAGATTGAAGTCACAGAAGTAGTCAAGGAGGAAAAGAATGTTGTTGAACACTTGGAAACAACAGTCACTACAGTTGCTCAAGAAAAGGAATTAGATCCTGTTCTCTCTAATGTTGTCCAGCAGCCAGAGGCTACAGTAGTTGGACTCTCCCAGGAGACTGTTGTCCAGGAAATTGAGTCAGCAGCCACATCTGTTGATGTTGTAGAAACTGAAGCCACCAAAGCTGCAGAAGAAGTTGCAACTGATGCTGCAAAGGTTGCAGAGGAAATTTCAAGCAATGTAGCTCAGTTGACTGAGTCCATGGCAAACATTGCGAAAGAAGCTGAAGCAATAGCAACTGATGTGGCCAAGGTGGCTGATGCCGCAGCAACCATCACGGAGGAGATGGAGGCAGTAGTCACCAAGGAGGTTGAAGTGATGGAAAGTGATATTGTCAAGGACACCAATGAGTTTGTAGTGGAAACCGAGTCTCAAACATCAGAGGTTACCAAAGAGGTTGAAGTAGTGACAGATGTAGTCAAAGAGTCCAAAAGTATTACTACAGAGGGTCAGACCCTGGTTGCAGAGATTGTGAAAGAGCCTTTAAATACAGAGATTGCAGCCAAGGAAACTGAAGTCCTCCCAGCAGAAGTTTCCAAGCAAGCAGAAGTCATCCCAGCAGAAGTTTCCAAGGAAGCAGAAGTCATCACAGCAGAAGTTTCCAAGGAAGCAGAAGTTTCCAAGGAAGCAGAAGTCATCCCAGCAGCCTCAGCAGAAGTCCTAACAGCTGGAACTGTGGCTACAGAAGATGTGAAACTGCCTGAGACTACTGAGGTTGCTCCCAAGGAAGCAGAAGTTATCCTAGAAGAGGTTTCCAAGGAAGCAGAAGT